AATAGATGGGGATTTGTATGCAAAATGTCACTAAAAGCGCCATTTCGTTCTTATAAAATCATGGATGACCGCGATTGGCCCATATGTTGTAGTCTTTTGGACGCTGAGTCGACTGGTTTTGGTCCGAAAAGGCTGCGATGCAGCGTTCCTCCTTTATTCCCAATCGAACATGGTTGAACAAGCGGTCACGTGCTCCTGCGTACGGCAGTCACCTGGTCACCGTGCCTGAAGGGTACAACTTACTAGCCTGTTTGACCTTTTTTGGGTGCAGTCCTGTCACTCGAGTTGAACTTGAGTTGAACCTTGGTGTGAAAGTAACTAGTTGTCGCCTGCTGGCGTGGTGACCAGGTGATTTGGGCACCCAGGAGCACGTGACCGCTTGTTCAACCATGTTCGATTGGGAATAAAGGAGGAACGCTGCATTGCAGCCTTTTCGGACCAAAACCAGTCGACTCAGCGTCCAAAGGAGTACAACATATGGGCCAATCGCGGTCATCCGTGCTTTTATAAGAACGAAATGGCGATTCTAGTGACATTTTGCATACAAATCCCCATCTAGTAGTTGTTGTTGTTGTTTGGCTTTATTTAAAGTGGAGTTCCAAAACAGGCCTAAACCTAATGACAATGGTCCCACTGATAATAAGAGAAAAGAAAAATATATAATAATAAGCGGACAAACAGAACCAAGAAGAAGATACAGCTGTAGTTAGATAACTAATATGAGCACGGCAGCAGGGGAAAAAAAGTCACAAGCACGGCAACCGGGAAGAAAGGAGTGAGTGAGTGAGAGAGAGGAGAGAGGAGAGAGAGAGAGAGAGAGAGAGAGAGAGAGAGAGAGAGAGAGAGAGAGAGAGAGAGAGAGAGAGAGAGAGAGAGAGAGAGAGAGAGAGAGAGAGAGAGAGAGAGAGAGAGAGAGAGTAGGGCGCAGTCACCCAATATCGGTGGAAGTGCGCGAGTTCGATTGGGATTCAAGTAGGAAGGGAGCGTCTCAGCTTTCTCGGACCAAGACCATTCGACTCAGCACCCCTGGTGAAATTTTAATTTTTGCCTTAACGTCCCCTTTAAAGGGGAAGTTAAGGCAAAAATCAAAATTTCGCCATTTCGTTCTTATAAAAGCACGGATGACCGCGATTGGCCCATATGTTGTAGTCTTTTGGACGCTGAGTCGACTGGTTTTGGTCCGAAAAGGCTGCGATGCAGCGTTCCTCCTTTATTCCCAATCGAACATGGTTGAACAAGCGGTCACGTGCTCCTGGGTGCCCAAATCACCTGGTCACCACGCCAGCAGGCGACAACTAGTTACTTTCACACCAAGGTTCAACTCGAGTTCAACTCGAGTGACAGGACTGCACCCAAAAAAGGTCAACACAGGCTAGTAAGTTGTACCCTGCAGGCACGGGGACCAGGTGACTGGTGTACGCACGAGCACGTGACCGCTTGTTCAACCATGTTCGATTGGGAATAAAGGAGGAACGCTGCTTCGCAGCCTTTTCGGACCAAAACCAGTCGACTCAGCGTCCAAAAGACTACTGTAAAAGCCATTACTCTAACGAGGCGCATATATAACGATTTCCCAAAATTGACTAGTTGTCGTGTACCAAAGGCAACGATTCTCACTCATTCTCAACGCTCAATAGGACCGTATAATTATTATGTATCGATTTCTGTATAACGATTTCTATTTTAACGACAGCTTTCTCCTCGTTAATTCGTTAGAGTTAGCACTTCGTTATAATTATGGCTTTTAACATACATGTACATGTATGGGCCGCGAGTAGGGCGCAGTCACCCAGTTTCGGTGGAAGTGCGCGAGTCCACGAATTCTCATGTCTTACTTAGAAGACGATTTTTCAGTGGTTAAGCAGCACCTCACAGATCGCGGCCTGCTCCTGAACTCCAGCAAGAGCCAAGTACTACTGATCCACAGCAGACGCTCACATCCCCCACCTAACCTGAGCATTGTCTGTGGTTCGACTGTTATTGCCCCGTCTGACGAAGTTAAGTATCTAGGACTGACTCTCGATTCAACTTTAAGTTTCAGTGCCCACGTTAACTCCCTCAGGGAAGACATCGGAAAGAAACTAGGTGCTTTTCGACGTGGAAGGAGGAACCTTGCTGTACAGGCCAGAAGGCAGTTCTACTTGTCAGTAGTCCAGAGCAAGCTCGAGTACGCCAGCACTGCCTATGTCCACTGCCTCGCTGACAATGTGAGAGATCAGCTGCTACGCATAAGTAAGAGAGCACTTAGATGCATATTTGAGCATGACACATTCACGCGGACATCATACTTGCTTGAGCGATACCACATAATTAGCTTAGACAAAAGATATCATACTAAGTCCATATTCTTCGTGTTCCGTTGCATCCACAATATCTGCAGTTCACTCCTCTCTGACATGTTCTCCCTTCGCCGTGACTGCGCTCACACAGACAGAGTAACCCGCGGCCAAGTCAATTATTCCCTTTCCTTACCCATTGTGCAAGCCCAAGCTGGATACAGATCTATTTCATTCCTTGGTGCTGACCGCTTTAATGCGCTTCCCGAATCCCTTCGCACAAATCATATCCCCAATTCATTTCGCCAGGAACTTAACAATTTCATTCATCTTGGGCACCCTGTAAGAAGACCTTAGGGTCTGTTGGGAATGCCCAAGTAAAATAATAAAATACAATACAATACAATACAGTTCGATTGGGATTCAAGTAGGAAGGGAGCGTCTCAGCTTCCTCGGACCACGACCATTCGACTCAGCACTCCGAAGACTACAACTGGTGAAATTTTGATTTTTGCCTTGACCTTAATTTGGCCCTCACAAGAATTCAGCGTATTCTTTCCGTTTTTTTCTTTTGTTTCGGCTTGTATTGGACCAATTAAGCATGTTTATAAGTTTGAACTGAATATGTCCATCCGTTATGGAAATATTTATATGTTCCCAAAAGGGAACGTTGGCCGGATCGCGTACCAAAATGACCATGGTTTTTTATGAAGGGAAGATGCAATAATATATTATGATATAATGGATTATGTTGTCTTCTAAGTGTTTGTGGAGCAATGCAAACATGAACAAGCAGTAATGGAGAAGAAAAATATATGTAATAGCCGTCAAAGAGTGTCCAGCAATGTTTCTTAGTGTTTTCGGCTGCTACCGTTCGCGTCTCGTATACACCGTGGCATTCGATCCTCGATCTAAATGCAGTCGAACTCCACACTTAGAACGGTAACATATCGTGGTTTGTCTGCACCATTTACAACGACATTGTGTTGTCCACATTGTTGTTGTCAAACGCGCTTGTATTGCACATCAACAGCAAGGCACTGGTGCTTCTGGGCGGGGTCGGCTATAATAAAATAGGACGGCGATCTCGGGATGAGCCTGGATGTAGGACATTGGCTTGGGGCTCACCGCTGCTTGAAAAATTGGCACTCTCAGATCAGTTGTAAGAATGTGGAGCCAGACAAAAAGAATTACAAGGAATCGCTCAAGATTGTCGGTCTCCGAGCTAATGTTGGCCTTGTCCGTATCGCGGGTATCGCGCAGTATTTACTCGTCAAATAGTGTTTAGAGATGTACAGGGTGTGTATATCTCGCGATTGGCAAGTGGGTGATGCTGTAGTGATCTCATGGTGATCGTGAAGGGATTTGTCCAGTTCAATTTCAGGACGCCTATCGTAAACGCCAGTCTATTTCACCCAACGCATTGCTCCAGCGGGTTGGCGTTTTTTTGCGGTCGTACTCACTATCAACAGGAAAGGCACCAACATCATTATCCTCTCCATTCGTCACGTGGTAGTTGTCTCGGTCCATGTCTCTTGCAAGTTCGATGAAAGCCTTATCATCCGTTGAATCATCTGATTACTACTCTATTTCATCGTCCACGTTCAGATCAACGAGAAGTGGTGAGCACACATGCTCTTTCCCTGGGCACAGCAAATTCACTGCATCAGAATCACGGAATCATTAGCACCATGCAGTTGTGAATTTGCAGTGCTCAGAGAAGGAGCAAGTGTGCTCACCACTTTGTTTCGAGTTCCTGAGCTGCAGGATGCCTTACCCCTATAGCGCTTACGTTCAGATTGCCAATAATCGGTGGCGCTAGGACTAAGTCCTGAAGTGTGTTGGAGTTCTCAACAATGTCCTTAGCTTCCATTGGAATCACTTTTGAGTCCCTTTCCAGAAAGGACTCTGCTACTGTAAACCTTTCCCTCTGCCATACCACATTACAGCTAAAGCGATATTTTCTGACAAAAATGCAACCGCGCGGAAGAAAAGATCATCGAAAGTCCAGGAGAACGCCATAAAGCATCCATACTTTGCTGAATATTGTTCAAGTGAATCTTGTTACACAAAAGGAAACCTACTTCAGAAGTATATTCCTTTGGAGACTGTTTAGCAATCTTTACTTTGGCAAATGTCAGCCTCTCACAGCATTGCTGTATTCCGCATGCTTGTGAATCACAAATATATGACCAAATTTGGTTACCATGGAGACTGTTGTGAACCCTCTGGTTCTCTAAAGTATCAGGAACGAACGACCCCACACGGCACGAGGACAACTATTTATTCTCAACAGTATATTTCACTTCCATCGACTAACAATGAACAATGAATGAATGAACAACTGAAACAACTGAAACTAACTGAATAACTAACACTAAAACCACCAGGTAGTTATAGCGTGAAAATGACAGCGTATATGAGAAAAGCATACACATACAACATACAACTACAGCGCACACAGCAAACCGCACATTGCGCATGTAGCGTATACTACGTCGTAAACATCAGCGGTACGGCGGAGTCGGGATACAGCTGCATTGGAACGAACACAATGTCACAAGCGAGAAGGCCTTTCACTCTCGAGAACTTGTGGTTTCACAACAGAGACGGTCTAATCACCATCAAAACATCAAAAAGGCTCCATCAGATATATATCCACGTTTACGGATGTTACAAACAAGGATATGCGCTAGATATACTGGTTCCTGAAATCAGGTGAAAATGAGGTATATCTGGGCCTCAGATCTGGCCAACGTTCCCTTTTGGGAACATCGAAGAAAGACGGCGGGTTTCTATGTGCCATGGTTAAATTTCCGGCGAATCTTCAGGCCAGTTGGGTGGCCATAGTAGCAGAGTGCACTTCGTACGTGTGGATTACTCTGAGAAAGACTGTTTTTCACACCAGAATTCTCAATTTCTGAAGTACGGCCGACTACCGAAAATTCACGACATTTCGCGTTATATACCGATACTTGAAAATTTCAAAAGCCTGACAAATATTCCAAGATTCATGATCATCAGCCTTCTAGATATGCATATAAACAGAAAATGCGGAGGAAAAATGAATTTCCCTTGACCAAATCGCATGCGGAAAGAAATGTTCCCTTTTGGGAACATTGGCCTGATTAAGGTTTTAACTTCCCCTTTAAGTCTGGTTCAACACATACACACAGTGTACCATGCAACACAGTGTACCATGCATCCAACACAGTGTACCATGCATCCAACACAGTGTACCATGCATCCAACACAGTGTACCATGCATCCAACACAGTGTACCATGCATCCAACACAGTGTGCCATGCATCCAACACAGTGTACCATGCATCCAACACAGTGTACCATGCATCCAACACAGTGTACCATGCATCCAACACAGTGTGCCATGCATCCAACACAGTGTACCATGCATCCAACACAGTGTACCATGCATCCAACACAGTGTACCATGCATCCAACACAGTGTGCCATGCATCCAACACAGTGTGCCATGCATCCAACACAGTGTACCATGCATCCAACACAGTGTACCATGCATCCAACACAGTGTACCATGCATCCAACACAGTGTACCATGCATCCAACACAGTGTACCATGCATCCAACACAGTGTACCATGCATCCAACACAGTGTACCATGCATCCAACACAGTGTACCATGCATCCAACACAGTGTACCATGCATCCAACACAGTGTACCATGCATCCAACACAGTGTACCATGCATCCAACACAGTGTACCATGCAACACAGTGTACCAGGCAACACAGTGTACTGACCTGACTAACTGGACCAAGAGTACATACATACATGTACCCCCCCCCCCGGTTATGTACTCCCCCCCCCCCCCCGGTTATGTACTCCCCCCCCGGTTATGTACTCCCCCCCCCCCGGTTATGTACTCTTCCCAGGACGGTAAACTAAAAGAGACTTCTGAGCCGGATCAGGCAGTCAGGCACCATCGTTACATCGTTACATCGAAACTTGTGCACTTTCATGTACATGTACATGTATTACCCTCTACACTCCAAGTGTGCGACTGAACGTTTCAGCCAACACGATGCAGATGCCAAAGTTTCTGTTTCCGGTTCCAGACAGGGATTGGTCTCGCTGCTAGCACCAAACACACACGCACGCACGCACACACACACACACACATGAACGTGGCACCACGTTTACAATTGCACTGCTTTGGCTGGGAGTTGATCAGTGGTTGGGGTCTTGGGGACGTGCAGTACCATACAGGTTTCACCATGACGACACGGCCACACGATGTTTGCATAGGTGTGGCGGGCAGTCAGGCTCACTAGCATCTCCTTTCCAGTTCCGTTGGTCAGCATTAAAATCACAATCCTTGTCACTCCAACTGAGGAAACCATTGAACGATGCTAAGTCTTATGTTTATAGATGTATCGAAACACGGAGAATTGCGTTCCGGAAAGAAATGCCCGTTTCTACTTGCAAATTAAGTACGTAAAAGATTACAAAAAAACTTCGACAACGCGAGATATGAGTTGAAATGAAAAAGGCATTCTGGGCACGGCAACGATCACACGACAGTCACAAAGGTCAGGACAAACACCCAAACAGTATGTATCTACCAGGCAGGTATTACGTCATTGTACATGTTTTATCAAAAAGAACGTCTACAAAAAAAACAAAAAAAGGAAATTTTTGAGTTCTTGAGAAAACAGTTCTGAGTTCTTGATAAAACAGTTCTGAGTTCTTGAGAAAACAGTTCTGAGTTCTTGATAAAACAGTTCTGAGTTCTTGAGAAAACAGTTCTGAGTTCTTGAGAAACAGTTCTGAGTTCTTGAGAAAACAGTTCTGAGTTCTTGAGAAAACAGTTCTGAGTTCTTGAGAAAACAGTCCCTTTGGAAAAGATTGAAATAAAGTTCGAAAGGAGAAAAAATTGCCTATCCGAAAACATGACCCGGTGAATGGACATGTATGCCAGAACGAGCCCAGCGCTCTGCGTCGTTTGGTCTTACAATACATGTAAGTGCACAGTGGCAAGGAATACACCAAGATAGAGCAGCAGGGTATTCATCACCAGATTGGATGCAGTGCTGCTGCAGGTCTCGGACTTGCCCATGACGGCAGTATTGTTCAAGTCCAGCTGTATCGCCAGCCTCATGTTCTCGCGTATGCGCTTCCACTTGACGGCATCGAACGTGTTGTCCGCTTCCAGCAGGTTGATGTTGGCTGAAAGGAGGTCGTAGATTGGTGTCAGGGAGTTGTCCTCAGTCACACTAATAGGATGTTGATTGGTTTTGACCGACGCAACGAACTTCAAGAAATCACTATCCAGCTGGGCAAAGGAGCCATCTCCGCCCAAACGCTGAACGCGATCAACCGAGGCCAGTTTCTCCTCCCGGTTCCCTTCAAAGCGTTCGAAATTCACCCCTACGCCGACTTTCAGTCCTTCACCGAGCTCCTGGTATGCCGATCCCTGAACGGTGTAGCCTGCCACCTTGTTGCTCGCCGATACACACTTGCTGACTGTGGCCCGGTGAATTAGCCGTCCCCCATACTCTACTTGAGTGATGACGGAATGGCCGAACTCGCTGATCAGGTCTTTGTAAGAAGAGTGCTGGTAGTTGTTTAGGTCCAAGGCATTCACACGATCTTTGAACGCCCTGCTAAACGGATAGCACCTCCAGTCGCTAATACCCACAGCAGCGTACACGGCACGTCGATCGGACACGGACATATAGTTCAAGTTTTGGTTAAGCTTCTGCGTTCCAGTTGCTCCTCGGAAGCCCACCGAACCTTCGATGCCTTCATAAGTGCCCGCCAAGCCCAGAGAGAGAAACCTTTCCCTGGAGTACTGCTTCAGGGAGGTGAACATCTTCACGTCCCTGTTCCACAACACGTTGGGTGGTGAAAACTCGTCATACAGGGCCTCGCATGGAAGGTAGGCCGGAGCTGAAGCTGGCGAGGCCGAGGCAGAGCCCGGGCGACAATAGCTGAAGTTGAAGATGGGATGTTTGACCTGATCATGAAATAGACCAAACCCTTCATCGGCTTTAACGTTGTACCCGTAGCCAACCTGCGATACTCGGGATTCCATCTCCTCCGTGATTGTCAGTTTTGGGCACATCTGCGCGTTGCAGAAGCGAAGCGAATGCCTGCAACTGTCCCGAAGTGCTGTACCGTTGATCTGAGCCTGGGCGGAGTTTGTGGCCACAAGTAGAAAAAGAAGCAGGGCTAGACCCTGGCCTGCGAGCGCTGTTTTCCCCTCCATTCTCCCAACCTCCATTGATGGGCAAGTTTGTAGATCAGGACGAACAAACTCGCATCCTTTCAGCCCTGGTCACGGAGGACAAGAAGGATGCTCTTGGCAATGCTTGCCAATATATTTGGGGAGCATATCGAATGCTGCATTAATCTACCGCCTGAAGACAAGGGGTGCGCGAGTTTAGTCTAGTGCCGACCGGGCCTTGAAGGCTTTGAGCTGAATCCTGTGCAGCCAGCGCTACAGAATCGGGCGGCAATTGCGGTCTCACTTTCCCGCTCAATAAACAACTGCACGCTGTCAAATTTCGACGAGAACATTCTTCGTCCTTGCACGTTCACTGCGGCGTGCTCTCTCTAGAATCACTTCACGATTAACGCGTGTGCTGCCAGGCAAAGGTCAGCCGCTATAGCAGCACCTGACAGCACCCGATAGTGGACGCTCGGCTAGGACAACCTGGGCATTGTCCTGACTCCTCGTGGTTTGGGGCTGTTCATATCGGAGCTGTGGGAAAGCCGACATGCCGAAAATCTCACAGGTGTTCGATTGCTGCATCACGGAATCTGGTGTTGTTGTTACGGTGTCCCCCCCCCCCCCCTCGGTAGCATTGCTCCAAAGCTGGGCTATGGATGCTTTCTAGACGGCGCTTTATGACTGCCTCCAGCCGCTCGGAGAACAGCCACGCTTGATGCTCGTGTCCAGTCTTGGGGAGCCGCCAGATGGATCACCGGTATATGTGTCATGCAACAGGGACGTGAGGCGCCAATGAGTCCGCAACCAGGCGTGACCTCGACAGGCGCGAGGCCAGGACAGCCGTGCATCAACAGCACCATGTCCTGAAAAATCACGCAGGATGTTTGAGGCCCGGCACGCTGGCACCAGTGTCTCCTCACACTGATGCATACTATACTCACTATACACTATACTCACTATACATGTAATAGCATGGTGACACATGTCTCTCTAGAGCTCTGCCTTCACGATCCATGAGCTACCCGGACACTACGTCCCCGTAGAACCATGCGAGAGCCGCGGTCTGTGCGGGTGATGGGGGGCCGAGCCGAGAAGCAGCCGACCTGTTCCGGAATTCCCAGATCGCGCGCGTATGCATGCACGCTTGCCGGGCCTGTCCCGGCACAAGCTTCTCACCTTCAGAGCTCAGTACACCAAAGCGCAGCCACGCAACACCGACTGTAGGCATGACAAGGCTGAAAGCGCAGGTTCACTTGCGTATAAATGCTGATAAGCTGAATGCATTTCCTTTCTTAGTTACTCTGTTCAGCTCGAAGGACTTGCAGAGACTAAAAGTTGCAGCAAAGGTGGCTAAGTGCTGAACGCTATAACGGCATAGAAGGTGAGCGTAGAAGCCAGAACGCGACCAAGCAGTTCCAAATCGTGGATTGCTTCACTATGCTTCCGACTAACCGTGCTTTCCTGCTGACCGTGGTTGTGTTAGTTCAACTATGCGCTGTAACAAGCGGCATAACATGGCCAGAATGCGCGGGAGAGATAGCGTCCTATGCGTGTCATGCCAGTGACCCTACGTGCAATGAACTAAGCTTGGGAAGGATCACCAACACACTGCCCTTGGGCCGAGGTTTCGACATGGCGCTATCGTCCAATCTCTATCGGACCAGGAAACCTCACGTTTTCGAGCTCTCCTACTGTGCTAGCTTCAGCAAAGTGGGCAGCCTATTCAAGGGTTTCAGGATGCCTTGCGAGGCTAAGCCGGAGAAGCACAAAACACCGATTCCAGACAGAACGGGTACCGTTAGTGTCTACGAATCTACCCAGACGTACGCAAACAGTTTGGGCAGCACTTTTGGCGTTTCTGCAGCAGCCCTTCCCTTCGCCTTCAGTGCCTCAGCCAGCGGTACCTGGGCAGATCTGCGTGAGCGTCATGGCGCCACAGCACGTACATCCGTAACATCCACGGTAGGCACGGCTCGACTGGACAACCGTCGCTGCCTGGCGCTGACGGGCAACTACAAGCGCTGTTTCGACCAGTTAAGTCACACGGATCCCACAGACCCAGCCTACACGACTCTGTTCACAGAGTTCGGCACCCACGTGATCACATGGGTGAAGATAGGCGGGCAGCAGGAGATTACATCCACCGTGAACCAGTGCGCAATGCAGAGGATCAAAAAGACGTACAGCAGCGTACAGATTGGACTTGGCAAATTCCTATCTATTGCCGCTGGCACGAAGACTTCTAGTAACGCGTTTGAAGAGTTGCAAGCGGCTGAGGTGAGCTACCAGTTTATTGGTGGAAACGCCTCGCTTCACCTGCCAAGCCAGTGGGACCAATATGAAGCGTCCGTACTGGAGAACCAAGCGGTGTTCGAGTTTAAGGAACTTATGCCGCTGTACAGCACCGTTGAGAATGCTGGTCCACTCCCGGACACCGACACGTTCAGAGCCACGTTCGAAGCCGCTACCATGATCTATCTGAAATCTGTGAGGGTGGAGCAGCCAAACCCAGTCGACTGCGAAAGCACGGATTGATTGGGTCATGTACAATACGCCTATGCGTGTACGCGTCACAGTAATTGCGTTGCCAAATAAGTATGATTTCTTCTCTATTAGCACCTTTTTGTCGGATCGTCTAGCATAGCATTTGTTGAATGTGTGAATTGTCAATTTGGTTTTCTATTGTGCTGAATGTGATGTTTTAAAGTTTGTTTGAAATGGCACTTGGATCATACAGAGCCGTGTAGAGAAAAAGGATGATGGACTCTGTTTTGATATTGGTTGACTGGTCTTCTTCCCACAATGCTCGTAGTCAATAAGAGATCTTGAAATAATCGTTAGTAAGCAGGTTATAGCGGGAAGGATGGGTGTTATGCACTCATAGACAATACACTAACATTTATACAATGTCCGTTTTTAATGTACAATGTATGTTTGAGCGTTACTAGGTATCAGCAACTGCATTAACTGTTACGCAGCCTGCATGCGTGCATCCGAGATTAGCACCGTAAATACGAATGTTGGCACATGTACTGGCACTGCAGACTCATACAGCCATGTAGTCACAAAGAAGCAAATCAAGGAAAGAGAGCCCATCATAACAGCTTAATGATTACATCTTTTAGAATTGGCATTCGTGGGCGCACTTGGCTGCCCATCTGGTTCTACCAACTGAATGAATTGAAAACGTAGCCAACTAAGCAGAGAGTGAGACAGCGAGTAACTTTGCAATGTAGCATTAGTAGGGTGAGAGGGGTAGCCGTAACACTAACGCCAAGTTTCGGTGGACATTGCCAAAGTTGCCAAAGTTCACCGCTATACGAGAGATGACTGTGATGAAGACAATCCTCCAGACTAATGCTGCATGCAGCCATTGCATTGTCTGCCTCTGTTCATCAAGTAACCCCCAACAGACTGCTAATGGTACTTCAGTACATGTAGTACATGTGGAAGACGGAAACAGAAAGTCTTGAATCGAGCGTCAACACAAGCATGTGCTTCAAAAACAGCACAGCATTATCTTACACGCCAACGAGACACACACAACAAATGGTACTGGCCGACCGTCGAAAATAGCGTGAACGGTAAAAAATGCTAACCATGTCTATTGACGCCGCCACCTCCCTCCACCCCACACACACACCACCCTCCGTCACAGTCAGTGTGGATCATCGAGCAGGGCTCTTCCTCATTCATTCTTTCCAGTTACATGTATTAGAAAGTCAAACTGGTCTTGATGGCTGCGTTTAGACATGGTCTCTTGAGTAACTACTTGCGTTTGATGGGGTTCTCGTCTCTCGTGACACACGCATTCTGTGTTCCGTACAATTTTGCCATGAGAATTAAGGTTTCTTGCAGAACTATCAGGCTGGCGGAGGAAGCGTCTTCTCAACTTCGCTGAAAGGATTTACAGACCTGATCCTTTCGCCTGTGGTCCTGTGGAGTGAACGTTCATCCCTGGATCAAGCGTAATCCTTTCAGATGAGGAGAGTTTTCGCTGCAGCAAGGGTATCCGGTTAGTTTTCGCTGCAGCAAGGGTATCCGGTTAGTTTGGGCTGCAGCAAGGGTATCCGGTTAGTTTGGGCTGCAGCAAGGGTATCTGGTTAGGTCAGCTTTACTGTATCCGTACTGTTCTCCAGGATAGTACAGGTGAGGAACGAAATTAGAAAGAAGGAAACTGACCGAAGGAAAGTACACACAGTGGGAAGGTCTATACAACTCATTCCCAAAACAGAATTGGAAACATTATGGTATTTCCCCAAATAGAGTGGCACTTTTCACCAAACTTCAAAGGCGAAGAAGGGGCAGTACTTCACCCCACTAATCTCCCACTACCTAAGGTGAAACCAAAAAATCAAGACTCCCCGGCTCACCTGCTGTAAAACCGAGCTGAAGTCAATCTTTTAAACCGTTCATGTACATGTACAGTACTGATCACGTGACTACTAGGGAGCTCCACAATCCCCGGGCTTGTACAACTCACTGATATAACGGAAATAATGTCACGGTTCGCTTCAGACTCAGCTAGACTGAGTTTTCAGCATCCATAGAAACACCACCACTCTACAAATATCTAAGGCGTAGAATCCGTAGATGCCGTTCCTAAAGCGATGGGAGTTGAGTAGATCAGACCACCAGCAAAGTGGTCACCGGAAATACTCTAAACAAAATCCAGAATGCAATGCATACACACATAGTAAAATTTAATAATAAAAATTAAAGATTCGCCTGCAGCACACGGGTCACGCTCGGAAATTTCGATTCTATTTTGGTCTCGCCTTCGGGTTAAATCAGTCGAATATATTGCACACTTGCACACTTGTCTAAATAGTCAAAATATGCATCAGCCCCTGCAACCGTAAACGTGCAGGCACCACCAAATGCACCCGCACACCCAGCTTCGGCACTCGTGCACCCACGCAGACAGACACAAGCGCACACATGCACACACGCGCCACCGGCGTACCCATGCTCTGACACGCAGACACCCGCACAACGTACTGCTCACTATGGCGTGCACAAACATACAATAGACACCTTGGGTTGGGGGTTGCCATGATTTCTTTTGGACAATTCAAATATTCACGAATATCCTCTTTGAAACTCGGATGTTGAGCCAATAATAAATGTCCGTGTTGTGCCTAGTTGTTGCACTTTCTGACTGTATATAGTATCTGGTTACAGTGATGGAGAGTTATCGTAAAGTACCGTTGATCCGCCCCCTGCCTAACTTCTCCTTGTGAAGCGACTTCGGCGTATACAACGAAATACGATGTTGAACCGACGCATGCACTGCTGTACACAAAACTTGCCAATCCAGGATCAAAATGTGCACAATCCAGCACATTGAGTCTGATCCTCTTCGTTGTTGTACATCGTACTGCACTTGACGGCCTTGATCTAAATCCCGCCCCCCCCCCCCCCCCCTGCTGAAAACCCAGCTGGGAAGCGACATGGCGTGAGGGAGGATCAACGGTACTTTACGGTACTCTCAACTCGTATCTATATTTCCTTTTGCTTTCAATATCCTCTTTGATAATAATTGATTGAGTAAAGATGCATGCCTGAAACTAGCATCTGCCCGCCAAGGGCGCACAAATGGCCACCGCGGCCGGCAACTGCCCGCCGGGGGCTAAACTAGCATACTGCCCACCGAGGGCGTACAAATGGCCACCGAGGCCAGCAAACCGCCCGTTGAGTGCTAAACTAGCATACTGCCCACCGAGGGCGCTCAAATGGCCGCCACGGCCAGCAAACCGCCCATTGAGGGCTAAACCAGCAGACAGCCCATCCAGGGTGCGCAAATTGCCACCGAGGCCAGCAAACTGCCCACCGTGGACCGATATCATCTTGCCCGCCAAGGGGACACAAACGGCAACCGAGGCCAGCCAATCGCCCACCGAGGACTCACACGACTGCCTGGCATCAGGCGTCACAACATACAGACATAATAAAAGGCCCGTTTGCCCCCCCCCCCCCGCAACCGGAGAAAAAAATGTCACTTCAAAAGGGGTGGGAGGGAGGGAAAAAACTTTGACTTGACACAGAAACTGCAACTGCAAAGAACGCTCCTTCGCACAAAGACAGCTCAGCAAAACATGTCTCCAAATAATTAGACGCAACATCCACGATTGTCCCTAAAATTTTGCCAGGCCACACGCTGCGCACGCGGCTTAGTCACGAGGTGGTCACATGGCACGCACTCGCAGCACTCCGGAGCTCCACCACCAGCATGCGTGTGCATGGGTTAACTACATGTAGATTTGACTGCTTCTATGACGCCTTTTGGAGAAGACCTTATAGTCGGTCTAGACATGCTATACGGTAACGACCTCGTGAGAGACCTAAGCCTAGGGGACCTCGGTCTTTACTCAGTCTATGAAGCAAGTAAAGATCTCCTAATCGGTCAATAATCTACTGTAAGACATGTTATTATAACGAGTCGCAAATTTAAGGATTGTCCAAAATTCATAGGTTAACGAGAAGATATGTTAACGATCTTGCAGTATTCTGCCATATCCACACACAGCATATATGAAGCAGTACGGCCTCAACGGATCTTATTATAACGAAGAAATGTCATCCGTTAAAACGTTAGATTTGCTTCTCGTTATATATACATGTCTTACAGTACACACATTGAGATAATGTCGCTGAGAAAAAATGGGTAGGGGTGGTGGTGCGACTTATAGTCGTTTGGAGAAACACGGTAGGGAAATTAACCAGATATCTGAGTCCTACGGAGCATCCCAAGTTTTTCTTGCTAGGGAGATGTAATTATTTTTACGATACAAAGCCACCATAGTTATCATGTGATATGGATCATGTGACCATATCATGTGATAGGAGTCATATGACTATGTCATGTGATACGAATCATGTGACCATACCATTGCACCATAGCATGTGACCATATCATGTGATAGGAGTCATATGACTATGCCATGTGATACGGACCATGTGACCATACTATTGCACCATAGCATGTGACCATATCATGGACGTTTCAAGAAGGTTTGACTGCTCTGGATAGCACGAGTACACATGCACGCATGTGCGTGCACACACACACACACATACACACACACGATGCAAAAAACATGAGATTCCTTGCCAGCAAGGACAATACAGGTCTGGTTATCCTGTAATCGGGCATTGTCACATACCCGGGCATGAATACATTACACACTCTGCCACAACTAGAAGAAAAATTCCTAATAAAAAATTCTTGAAAACAGATCTGGCTCGCTGGCCAAAGGCCAATATGAGAGCAAGAACTTATAACTTGGTGCAGAGAGGTCTATACACACTGAGATGGTAGAAGAAAAAGTAAAAAATTATAACACCGTCCTGTGTCTAGTCTGGCTGGTATGCACAAGGCGAGTGTCAGACAGAACACTGACGTCATATAAAATAACTTATACGGAAACTGTTCAGTTGAACAAGTGACTAAACACTACTTGTACTGGTGAGGGTCAGGGCAAACCTTGTTCTTCTCCGGCGGTACGATGGCAGCGATCTTGGCAATCTCGTCAGTGCTCAGCTTCACCTTCTCAAACTGCAAGTTCAGCGTCATGTGGTCCGGATTGCGGGTTCTCGGGTTCACCACCACGCCGTGGGCCAGCTCCCAGGCCAGCAGCACCTGACTGGGATCGGCACTGTGTACTTGAGCAATCTAGAAATACAAACAAACATAATATACAGCACAGACTGCTCATTCTGCGAACAGAACTGTTTCGTCCCTTGCACACTCACCAGCACAGCACAGAGATAATGATGCCAACACAGAAAACACAAAATGAGTACTGCAGGATCGGCGGAAGTAGCTTTCAATTGGTCCGGCCATACCCTAGTCCGGTCATACAGTTTGTGTATGATATGGATTATGGAGGGTATACACATGACCTCAGCAAAAAACACACGTTGGCAGCTAAAACGTTGGTCCGGCCATGGCCCGACCAACCGGACTGGTTCAGCTGGGTATGAATAGGTATATGTCCTAGAAGCCCAGTGTCGCCATTATGGAAAATAAGAAAACTACACGGTTTGCACGAGACTCAGCTGGAAGCGGAGTTTTCGTATCCGTAAGAACGCCACCACCCCCTAGGATCAAGGCGCAGATGGAGAACTGAAACGGTGCTGGAAAAATTCCTTCCGCTTCTTCGTATCCGTAAGAACGCCACCACCCCCTAGGATCAAGGCGCAGATGGAGAACCGAAACGGTGCTGGAAAAATTCCTTCCGCTTCCAAGCAGGACTTGAACCTGGTACCCTCTGGTTCTCAACCATGGTGTTAGACCATCACACTATGCCTGCCATAGTGCCATAGAACATAGAAAACCTTGTGATGAAATACTGGCTGGGGGAACTGGAAGCATGGAGCTATTGATACTTCCAACTGATACAGCAAAACATATCCACTTACGGATGCATTTTAACATACACGCACGCTCATGCACGCATGGACGCCCACCCCCCCCCCCCCCCTCCAAACACACACAGATGCATATGTGGACGTCCACACATGAGCGCCTTTTTCTATCTGCACTGAATGCCATCTGCCTCTCAACAATTGAGAAAAGACAAAGGTAGGTAAAACAGATTGGCTAGTCTGGGGGCAGTCAAGCATAGGCCAACCGGTCTCTGCTTTGGAAAGATCGGACACAATGTTGGGTTACTTGCATTCTGAATCTGGGAGAATGAGTATGAAACAAGTTGCAACTGAGTGCAAAGATCAGTGCCAAATTTGTTCTAAGGAAGCCACTTTGAGATGCCTATATTACGACAGCATGTCCATGTACGTTACACGACCAGTAAAACTACCCAGCTAACCAGTATAACTACCCAGCTAACCAGTAAAACTACCCAGCTAACCAGTATGACTACCCAGCTAACCAGTATAACTACCCAGCTAACCAGTATAACTACCCAGCTAACCAGTATGACTACCCAGCTAACCAGTATGACTACCCAGCTAACCAGTATAACTACCCAGCTAACCAGTATAACTACCCAGCTAACCAGTATAAGTACCCAGCTAACCAGTATGACTACCCAGCTAACCAGTATAACTACCCAGCTAGCCAGTATAACTACCCAGCTAACCAGTATAGACCCCTTTCCGGATAGAACACAGTGCGCGTTGCATGGCAACGGGTGACGCGCAAAAATGTTTGGTGGGCAAGAAGTTCAGCCCAAACTGCAGTGAAAGTAATTTTTCAACCAGGAAGCAACAATGTCTGCTGTCATCCCTGACTCTGCTGCCGCTGAGCAGCCACCACCCTTGCCTCAGCCACTGGCTGTCCTTGCTGAACAACTTTCAAAAGGGTCCGAAGCCAGCGATGCCGATTTTGTTGGGGTTCAGACTTCTCTTGCGACGCTGAAGGTGGCCGAACTGAAGGAAATTGCCAAATTTCTGGATGTTCGGTTGACTGGAGCAACAAAGAAGGCTGACATCGTGGAGCGCTTGGTGTCGATGTCCAAGATTGGTTTGGCTGGTGCTGCTGATGCGTCGTCCTCTGGTGCTTCCGTTGGACTGCAGTATATAACTCAAGACGTTCGGGGCACTTTGTCTTCGTTGCCTCGTTTCAACGAGGTGCAAGACTGGTGCAAGGAGTTTCGTGCTGCTGTGGTGCGGTTCCACTTCATGGATTTATTGACGTACTTGGTCTATGGACGAGACAAGACGTTTGATATGGAGAGCATGAAGGCATTTAGGTGAGTAATGAACATGGGCGGTGTGGGTACGTTGTGATAGTAGGCAGTTTGAATTCGTAATCTCTCAAGACAAAGTCAGTGTGTGTCAAGTTTTGTTGAAAGACCTACTGTAACTGAGGTCAACTAGCATTTTCGAATCAGTTGCCATCAATGTCTAATCAGTGAAGGAATTCAGCTAGGGAACCCCTGAATTGCACATCCCTAATATTGTCTCTTTTCTCCAAATGTGTCTTTGGAAATTTTGTTGGCAACAGGTCTTTGAAGGCGTACCAATTTTTTGCCGATGGCTTTGTGAAGAATGTGTGGAGCAAGCAATATCCTGCATCTGGGGAGAACGGTGTGGCAATCTCCTATCTCCGTGCTTACGTCCACCATTCCTTGTCGTGTGATACACCGCTCACCGTGTATGTGTCGTTGAACACTGAGACTGGTGAAGTCTACGCTGCGCAATGCAGCTGTATTGCCGGGTAAGTGTTTTCACAGAAACGCACTACGAGTTGGTGTGTTTTCTTCAGTCCAAATGTGACAGTTGACCTGCGGCACTGATAAATCCTATTATAACTCTTCCTCCTTACCTGTGCTGTGATAGTTCCTTTGTAGTGACATGTATTTTGCAGATGATTGTTATAATAACTTCTTTGTTCAACAAGTTTGTGATGTGATGAGTTCTGACAGCTCTATCTGACGTTGGCATATATTTGTTGTCTCCCGTGCATGGTGTGCGTGTGCGGTTGTTGTTTATGTTAGGCTGGGAGAGGCGTGCAATCATGTTGCTGCCCTACTCTTCTTCATTGAATCCGCTGCAAAAAGGAATCTAGTGGAGCTACCCGTGGAGTTGTCTAAAACGTCACAACCTATGCGCTGGAATCAGCCTCCAAAGAAGCATGTCGATCCTCAGCCACTCGCCAATATGGAGTTTGTGAAAGCTTGCCATGGCATGACTGATGATGAAGTGGAGAGGAAGCAGCTGCGAGCGGAGTTTGATCCCCGTGCACCGTCACACCGCCAAGTCACATCTGCTGACGCACTCACCTTGCAGGAGGCATTAGCAGCGGGAAAGGCATCAGCCAAGAACTGTGGGTTCTTCCATTTCTGGGAAGTCGAAGACCAGTCATCAGGACTTGCTGCTACTCCAGTTAGCCAACCCAAGGACCTTTCGCCATTGGTCCTGTTCCATTCTGACAGGCTTCCAGGTGGAACGAGTGAAGATGCCCTTGGTCGATATACCGGACCACTGTCCAAGTACGGTGTATCCCAAAAGGAAGTGGAAGACTTCACCAAAGGCCAGACAGACAACTCGTGGTGGTTCGACCTACGTCATGGGCGCCTAACTAGCTCACGATTTGGTGACATCGTTCGCTCTCGAGCCCAGGAGCCAGTCTCGCTGCTGGCCGGTATCATGGGATACACCACCATTTCCGCTTTGCCACCTGCCATGCGATGGGGAGTGGAGAATGAGCCCAGGGCGAGGGACATGTACCTCAGTGTGGCACTCGAAGATGGAAAGAACATCACCGTAAGAGAGTGTGGTCTTAGCCTCCATCGTGACTACCACTTCATTGGTGCGAGTTCTGATGGAATCGTTGTGGAGGAGCTTGAGAGCGGCGTGGTGGAGCGTGGCTGCCTGGAAATAAAATGCCCCTTCTCCATCCAGGGCACATCTATTGTTAACCTCACGCCAACTCGGATCGCCCAGCAATTCCCTGGCAAGTCATTCTTGGAATGCCACGCGGACGGGTCAGCCCACTTATGCAAGAATCACAAGTACTATGACCAGGTGATTGGTGAGATGGCGGTCATGGATGTGAAGTGGTGTGACTTTGTGGTGTTCACATGTGCTGGCGTGCTTGTAGAGCGTATCATGTTCGATGACGCTCATTGGCAAACCATGCTCATGAAGTTAACATCCTTCTACGAGCAGTTTGTTATCCCAGAGCTGTGCTCTCACAAGCTGTACCTTTCAAAGTACAAGTCATGAATGACAAGAAAAAATATTTTTGTGTTTATATTCTGTACATAGGGATTTCAATCTATTTTGCTTCGCTAGATTTTTTGGAACTTTGTACAGCAATGCCCCATCTTCTGCGAGGGATATGCTCGGAACCTTCTCATGTTCCCAGCATTGAAACTTAATTCTGTACATAGCGGTTCCGATCGATTTTTCTGTTATTGTGCGGAATTCTATGGATGACATCGCACACATCCTTGTACCTGTCTGTCATTATAAATATTGGCTGGATATTATGCTACTTCTGGTAGCCCGTACCAACTTGCTTCGGTGACAATCGCGGTGACAGTGCACTCTTTATCGCATCCCAACCCCACAAATAACATGCACCCAGCCAGTGACCTGGCAGCATTTGGTATGTTCATATTCACAAGCTTTGGGAATTACACAAAATAGTATTTTGAACCAGAGACCTTTGCTTGATCGTGGCATACGCCACCATTTCCACTTTGCCGCCTGCCATGCGGTGGGGAGTGGAGACAATGCACTCTTTATCACATCACAACCCCACAAACAACACGCACGCAGCCAGTGACCTAGCAGCAGTTGGTACGTTCATATTCACAAGCTATGGCACTTCCAGAAAATATTACTTCGAACCAGAGACCTTTACTTGACCGGAGCACTGTGCTTCCGCCGCGCCATGTAGCCGTACTTTGTATTTACATTACATGTGAAGATAGCGTGCGAATCCAGCTCCGATCCTGCTCTGATATGTTCAGAAAAATGATTCCAACTGTGCACCTCCCTTCGGGCTCCAGTAATAAGACGAATCGTCTGTTGGAGAAACCGAAGTAAAATAAGAGTGGTTATTATTATTATTATAGTGTGCTGAAAAATAGACCATAATAAAGAGAACAAAAGAAGATAGAACTTGAATATAGTGATTCACATGTCTCTTCAATTTACTAGCGGGGCGTCGAAGTTTGTGAGGAAGAAGCACACTTTCACGATGTGAGACGACAGACTCGACATGCTCACAGGGAACACAGTGTTGAGGACACGGTAGCAACGTGCACGTCCGCTAGCCCGTTCGACATGGATACGCAGCTCTGCAATGCGGCAGGTCTTCTCGATCTTCTGGGCGCTCATCTGGCTATCAGCACCGAGCTTTGGCGGGATGTTCAGTTTCACTCCATGGAGAGCAAGAGGCACCTCGATGTCAAAGCCCTTGTCAGCCATGACACTGTCACCCTTCTCCAGAAGCTGCAACAGACCGCTCTGCTCTGTGATGACCTTGTCACTGACTCGGCCACCCCAAACATCCGACACAAAAGTCACAAGACCAGCAGGTGAAACACCTACAAGAATCTTCATGGTGTTCCGGCTCTTGTAGCTGGAGTAAGTGATCGACTGGTTCAGGAGAGAAGTTGGGCGCTCCATCTGGATCTCCAAACAGTCAATGATAATCCTCGTCTGCGGAAACTTGGACTTAAAGCACGGTGGCATGAACTTGTCCACAAGTTGTCTGGACGGGAACGGGAAGAGGAAAGACAGCTCACGGGACAGAAACAGAATCCACGTGGAGTACATCCTGCTGAACGTGGAGTCAGGCATTTGCATCAGGGCTGCCACAAACCCGCCACACATACCATGGCGCAACCGGACAAGCGTCGCAAAGAACTGGTTGGCAATGGACAAGTCCTTGGTCATCCGAGGGCCAGGCTTGTTGTCCTTGGGGTCACTGGTGGAATCACCGCGCCAGGCAGTGAGCTTTGCGGCCTTCTCCTGCACATGACCTAAGACAGCATGGAACACGGAGCGGTTCGGCAGACCAGTGAGGAAGCGACACTTCTCATCAGACTCGTCAATCCAGTGCACACCAAACTGTGCCTTCGAAAGCCCAGTCTCTAGTTCCCCGCAACGCCGCTTTAGCCGTTCAACTTCCGCCCTCAACTTCTTGCATTCCTCTTCCAAACGATCAGTGTCCGAGGTGTAGGGTTCATCAGGTCCACATGCTGTAGAACATGGAAGAGAAAGATAACACAAATCACGTCACAATTGACCAGGGACAAGTGAGATCACAGTACCGGCACATAACATCTAACCCTCCAAATGGGAGTGATGCAATGGAGAAGATTAGGTACGTTTCGTCCATGACGTCCAGGTGCAATTCAAAGAACAGGGATCAGAAACAATCTACCGATATTACACAGGGTCAGGACATCTTAGAAACGTACAATAATTATTGAACCAATATGGGACCCGCAGCATTTTCACTCACTACTGTACACATGCGACAAGAGTTGAAACCAATCACAGATATGACACTACTTGAAGGCCAAGACAGCAGACACCTTACCTGTAGACACCTTGATAGGAGCAATAGTTGGCACTTGAAGATTCAGAAGACTGGACATCCCGGTTGAGTTCTGAGCAACAAACAAGTAGACATACACCTACACTTTATGATTCTCGAAAAAATAATTTAATTCTTCCAGACACCATCATCTAGAAAGAGAAATTTCAAAATGCATCTGAAGAATAACGTCTTTCTGGCCTGGCCAATGGAGTGTGCATGGCCTTTCCAAGAAGGGGACCTTCCAGCATCGTACAACATCGATGCATCAGGGGCACAAGCTGATTGCAACGTATGAAATTCATAACGTACAAACAACTAAATTTTGAATTACTCAACGTACAGAATCAGTCAGAAGTTTTTTCTTACCTTGAAAATAGGAGAGGACAGTTGAAGTTTGGCGAAGTACGAGTGGTCATGAGAAACACCATGTCGTTGGCTTGCCTTCCTTGCCTCTTCTTTCTGCTTCAGCCTTGCAGCATCAGCCAATTTCTTTTTCCTCAGCTCAGTAAACTTCTCACGTCGGACAGAACGATCGATTTTTGACGTAGCTGTTTCAGGGTTCGCGGAGTCATAACCGAGCTTCAAGGACGGCACATAGTCAGGATGGGACTCGTCATCCTTTGCTTCCTTTGCATTCGGATTGCCAAGAACAAAATGCTTCTTGCAGACTCGCTCGTCAGTGTCTGGTGTCCAGGGCGATCCATCAGCTTCTTTACGGCGAATTGCAGCAATCCAGAGTCCCCTGCGCTTGGGATTTGTTGGAAATCGGTGGAAACCACCTCCACAGCCACGCGTATACCTATTTGTGCATCCTATGACGGCACAGGTCTGCACCATGGCTGAAACTAAAAGGAAAGGACGACAAAATAGATCCAACCAACTAAAAAGACAAAGTAACTAATTAGTAGAGTGGTTCTTCTTGCCCACCAAAGTTTGAATTTCTCGGTAACCATAGAGATTCGCGGCGATCCGGAAAGGGGTCTATAACTACCCAGCTAGCCAGTATAACTACCCAGCTAACCAGTATAACTACCCAGCTAACCAGTATAACTACCCAGCTAACCAGTATAACTACCCAGCTAACCAGTATAACTACCCAGCTAACCAGTATAACTACCCAGCTAACCAGTATGACTACCCAGCTTACCAGTATGACTACCCAGCTAACCAGTAAAACTACCCAGCTAACCAGTATAACTACCCAGCTAACCAGTATGACTACCCAGCTAACCAGTATAACTACCCAGCTAACCAGTATAACTACCCAGCTAACCAGTATAACTACCCAGCTAACCAGTATGACTACCCAGCTAACCAGTATAACTACCCAGCTAACCAGTATGACTACCCAGCTAACCAGTATAACTACCCAGCTAACCAGTATAACTACCCAGCTAACCAGTATAACTACCCAGCTAACCAGTATAACTACCCAGCTAGCCAGTATAACTACCCAGCTAACCAGTATAACTACCCAGCTAACCAGTATAACTACCCAGCTAACCAGTATAACTACCCAGCTAACCAGTATAACTACCCAGCTAACCAGTATAACTACCCAGCTAACCAGTATGACTACCCAGCTAACCAGTATGACTACCCAGCTAACCAGTATAACTACCCAGCTAACCAGTATGACTACCCAGCTAGCCAGTATGACTGCGCGGACAGCCAATACGACTGCTCGGTCAACCAGTATGAATGCTGAGGCGGTGCAGCAAGCATGACTGCTCAGACAGCCAGTATGACTGCTCAGATAGCCAAAAAGACTGCTCCGTCAACCCGCACAGGGAGTAATTTAACCGGTATCGCATCTCAGTTTGCTACGCAAATCTTCTAAGGTGCGAAGCAACTTCAGATAAGTGTCGCAGAAAACTGCGATGCATGTTAATTTTTCACTGTACTCTTCGAAGCACAGTGTACATGCCGGGTGTGTCTCTTAGGGATGAGGTAGATGCACGCGGATTCAAAAGTGCTGAGCTATGCATCCTGGCACCAGGCTATGCATGCTGGCACCAGGCTATGCATGCTGGCACCAGGCTATGCATGCTGGCACCAGGCTATGCATGCTGGCACCACCAGGCTATGCATGCTGGCACCAGGCTATGCATGCTGGCACCACCAGGCTATGCATGCTGGCACCAGGCTATGCATGCTGGCACCACCAGGCTAGGTTTGCAAGTAAGCGAGTCTAAGGTATGACAGTGTACTTGGGGTCTGAGCTTGCACTCTGATCAGCTCTCCAGAATGACAATGCTGTCAAGTGTTGAAGAAAATTGCTATGCAACATTTTCGAATTGCTATTCAAGTTTGATTTTGTGTAGCAGAATTGCTATGCAAACGATTGAAAGCAAATTATTCCCTGCCGCATAAATGCTCAGACATGACGGCCAGTACATGTCTGCTCGATCAACCATTATAACTACCCAATCAGCCAGCATGACTGCTCAACCAGCCAGCATGACTGCTCAACCAGCCAGCATGACTGCTCAACCAGCCAGTATGACTGTTCAACCAGCCAGCACACATTGGACACTGCATTGCTCCCACGGTATATGCGAGGGTTCCTGCCTTGTCAGAATGTGTGGTAAGTGAGGTCAGATTGATGATGACAGCAAACATGTTATCATCCAGGGCAATACAACAAACCCATGTACACGTGCGGGGATGCAGTCAACACAACAAACCCATGTACACGTGCAGGGCTGCAGTCAACACAACAAACCCATGTACACGTGCGGGGATGCAGTCAACACAACAAACCCATGTACACGTGCGGGGATGCAGTCAACACAACAAACCCATGTACACGTGCAGGGCTGCAGTCAACACAACAAACCCATGTACACGTGCGGGGATGCAGTCAACACAACAAACCCATGTACACGTGCGAGGATGCAGTCAACACAACAAACCCATGTACACGTGCAGGGCTGCAGTCAACACAACAAACCCATGTACACGTGCGAGGATGCAGTCAACACAACAAACCCATGTACACGTGCAGGGATGCAGTCAATACAACAAACCCATGTACACGTGCAGGGCTGCAGTCAACACAACAAACCCATGTACACGTGCAGGGATGCAGTCAACACAACAAACCCATGTACACGTGCAGGGATGCAGTCAACACAACAAACCCATGTACACGTGCAGGGCTGCAGTCAACACAACAAACCCATGTACACGTGCAGGGATGCAGTCAACACAACAAACCCATGTACACGTGCAGGGCTGCAGTCAACACAACAAACCCATGTACACGTGCAGGGATGCAGTCAACACAACAAACCCATGTACACGTGCAGGGCTGCAGTCAACACAACAAACCCATGTACACGTGCGGGGATGCAGTCAACTTGAAGCCACACGGCGTGGCACTTCCTCATATCTATTTTGGTCAGTCCGCTTCAGTTTCGAAATCGAAAGCAACAGTGCAGAATGCATGGCTCAATTAGCCATCACCCCATCATCCTGATCTCACTATGCAAGACACATAACACACATGTAGAGCTAAGGAGTACACTGCTATGATGATTTGTTTGGATAGGTGAGTAGAAATGCATGGATATTATCATACTCTGTTTTATATGTGGAGCCCCGAAGACAACTACAACTACACTCATACCTCGTTTATCCGGGCGGTCCGAGACCGGACACTGCGAGTTACTTTGAAATGTCCGTAACTCCGAATCACATACATTTTGATGGGGAAAGGCCATAGTTTTGCCATGTAACGTAACTTTTTCCACGAAAAAGGGACAGCAGAGTAGTGCTATTAAAACTCACCCAAAGAGTACCAGGCAGACCAAATTACCCGTCTTGTAACTTTGGTGTCCGCATATCCGAGGTATGAGTGTACGGATGAATTTTCTCCGTTTCTCATGTTCCTCTTTAACTGAGTAGAAAACTCAAGCACACCAGCCTCACCTGCATGACAACGGGTTCTTGGAGCGCCGAGTGTGACCAGCCGTGTGTCGGAGGGGCGTAGTCCGGGCAGCTCATTGGAGAGTAGCCATTGAAGGTGATGTTGCGCTCTTGACAGAACTTAACCAAGTCGTCCTCATGCCAGTAGGGATGATACTCAACCTGATAAGCAAATAGAACAAAAACACACAAAAATTGAGGTCAATACGGGATCACATGATTCTTCAAATTGTCCAAGTGAGAATTTCCCAGCAAAACAAAAGTCTGGATACAATTTTACACCAGTTTTCGAAATGCTTCCGAAAAGCAAGTGAGAAGCTGCCAATGTATATTGTGCTAGTATATACATGTAAATGCACTGTTACAGGAGTTACCTACAACAGACTGGAAAATAGTTCCTTCCACATCTCTCTCTCTC